ATGACGCTCATGGAAAATAAATTAGTTTAGCTCAATTGATCATGTTCTTTATAACAGCTATTTTACATCTGTTTGGACGTTCACTGATAATTAAAGACAAGTGTTTTTAGTCATGTGTTTGTGATTATTTAAGTATCGTAAATGTCAAGGAACAGGATTTTATTAATGACGTTCATAAGTGTAGAGCAAAATTTTCCATAAAGATTTAAAGATTTTTTTTTGTTTTTATTTCATCTAGTTTTTTTTGTTAAGCTATGCCATCAATATATCAAACATTATTAGTTTGACAAAATTATTAAAGATTGTTTTCTAAGTGATTGATGTAGAAATCAGATAAGATAGGACCAAGAGGTGAACCCATGATATTGGATTGCAATAAGTTTATTTAGGTACAATATTTGAAGAAATATGTTAGTGAAATTACAGATTTATTTGCTAAGTATGGTAAAGTCAGTCTGGCTTAAAGTTTTGGGTAAATGATATACAGGAAGTAAGCATCTGTGAAATTATAGAACAGAGTTGAACCTGGTTTTGGTGTTTCTACAGAAAGCCATATATAGGTAGCCATGGTGACATGTATTCAACATTTTATGAGGTGTAGGGGATCTGATTTTAGCATTGTTGGCTGTTATAATTTTGTCTGTGTCTCATGGAGGCTAGTGGTGTCTTCATTTGTTCTGTTTTTTTTTTTAAATTATTTGTGGTGTTGTGAATAGAATCAAGCACTGCATTGCAATCAGTCCTGTTTTAAAAATAAAAATTAAATTTATCACTTTTCTAAATTATAGTTGTTATTTCTAAGCTCTGTATAAGTTTGCTTTAGTTAATAACAGGATTAGTTTTCTGCAGTTATTTGTATGCTTTTAGCCTTAAACTAGTTTCTATAATCCAGAGTAAGTTGTGAACTGTTTATAGTCTTGTAGATATAGGATGTGTTTTTTTCTTTTTTCTTGGGGTGGTAAATACAAAATTTCAATTTCTGCCTTTTAATGTGAGTCAAAATTATAGTAGAATAACAGTTTGGTCCCAGTTTAAAATGCATATAAAATATTTAATATTTTAACTCCCTGGTGCCATCAACACATTTAAATCTGAAATTTAGCATCCCTAAAAATGCCAGGATAAAGTTAATAAAAACTTTTCTCTATGACACTAACAATATTAATGTTCTTGATAATCAGAAACGGTCAAAAATAATCTTAATTAAAAAATTTAAAAAAGAATAAAATAATAGAAAAAACCTTCAGGTAATTTTTCAATTCATTTAGTCTGAATATGCAACAATTTACTCATAAATTGGAAAAATATCATAAAATTATAAGCAAACAGATATTGCCAGTTGAATTTAGTAAAATACCTGAAGATTGCCTCCAAGGGCATGAAACTTGTAGTAGTGATAGGTCAATGTATGCCAGAATATAAAGAAAGTAATATAAATGATCTGCCATCGAGATCCTTTTCTCCAGTGTGACTTGTTATGCTGCCTTAGGAGTTGTTTATTATGTGCATTTACTAAAATGCATACGCATTTCATACATACACGAATACAGCACAAAACAAAAAAGAACAACAACTTACCATCAATAACTAGCACATCAATTAATTACATCAAACTTAGCATAAAGATAATGAAAAACAGCAATCAACTGCCAAAATCTCCTGATGAGTGTACTGGATGATTACAAAAAGGTTCATCTACAAAACTTTGGAGCTGAGGTGTTGAATATAACATCAATTAGCTAAATGACAAAATATATATATATATATATATATATATATATATATATATATATATATATAAACAAATAGGAAATGTTTATCAATCTAACATGTTTCACTTTTATTAAAGCTTCATCAGAGAATGAGATATGGAGAAAAAAAAAATTTCTGGTATTTTTACCTTTGTGTTGTTCAATTTTCATTCCTTAACCAGGCTTTACATGCATTAAAACATGGCTAACCAATGATAATTAAAGTGAAAATACCAGAATTTTTCTTTTTCTCTGTATCTCATTCTCTGATGAAGCTTTTTATATTGATAAATGTTTCCTATTTTTTCTTAATCTTATTCTGTTGGATTCTGATCCATATTCGACCCCAGATAAAAAAAAAATAATCTAAAATTCCCAGCAACCCCCACTGTAATGCACATATGTAGTCCTTACCAACATATCAAATTTAATCTGATGAAATCCTGAAGAATGAAACATGTCACAAGTAAACATTTTTTCACTTGTCGTACTATTTCCCCCAATACTGTTCTCGATATATATATATAAAAAAAAATTTATATATATATATATATATAAAAATAAAAAAAAATTATATATATATAAAAAATTTTGTCTACTTGATTATGAGGATAAGCATCTATAACTACACATCTGCCAACTCATAGTTTATCATGACAAAGCTATAAACATGCTATTATTTATATAACAAAAGGGGTGCATAAAAGTTACCAGCTTAAATCATTTCCCCAAAAAATAATAATAAAACTTTTCTTTTTAAATCCTTTTTGGTTAGCCAACTTACATTAATAAAAAAAAAAAAAAAAAAAAACAACAGTAAAGCAAAGGTTAACAAAATTCTGTAAAATATTTAAAATATTTAAAATTAAGAAACCAAAAATGTGCCATTTCCATTTGGAATGAGAGAAGGATTTTTTTTCACAATGTCATATTCAAAATGTGTTTGATTTGCCAATCTACCATTGCTATTCCGAAGAAAAGAAATGTGGAGTGACATTTTCAGACTGTTCATAAAAACTATGACACTGAAAAGCAAGCTGAGAAAGGAAAAGGTGAAGGAATTAAAATCACAGTTGTCAGGACAGCAGTCATTTTTCTCACAGCTGACCTTAAAAGTGAAGGCAGCTACCAAAGCCTCATTCAGGGTTAGTCACACCATCATTAAACACAAAAAGTTCTTTCAAGATGGAGAAATGATAAAAGAGAGATTTGTAGAAGCAGCTGACCTGTTGTTTCAGGACTTTAAAAACAAACCAGCGATATTATCATCAGTCAGAGCTTTCCAGTCATCAAGAAATACAGTTACATGGCACTGTAAAGTAATGGCTGAGGATTTGAAGAACATCACAGACTGTGAGTGTTTCTCATTGCAATTGGATGAGTCTACAGATGTAAATGATACAGCTCAGTTGTTCATTTTTATTTGGATGGTGTTTACAGATATGACTACAAACGAGGAGCTGTTAACAATACTACCCATGAAGGGACACTAGCAGAGTGAGGACATTTTTCAGTCTTTCAAAATCTTTATCAAGAAAACCCAGCTCCCAGTGTGCAAATTGGTGTCAATCACCATGGACAGTGTTCCCTCAATGGTTGGCTCATCAAATGGAATTATTGCCAGCAGCATAGATGATGATGCATTCCCCAACTTCCTTAATTACCACTGTATAATACACCAACAAGCATTATGCGAAAAATTGCTAAACATGAAAGATGAAGGATGTGGCAATGAAGATTGCCTGTTCTGTTCAAGCCAAATCTCTTTGAAGTCGGCTGTTCTGTGCACATCTGGAGAAGGTGGAATGCAACCACTCCAAGTTGTTGCTACACATACTGATGTGAGATGGTTTAGTAGGGGGAAATTCCTACAGAGATTTTGAAGCTCTGTCCAGAGATAAATATGCAGAATACAACCCACTAAATGACAATAAGTGGCTGTTAGACTTGGCATTTTTAACTGATCTGATCAAACATGTTGAATGTGCTTAATTTAGAGCTGCAAAGACAAGACAAAACTGCAGTACCATGATTTGGAGAAACTTTCAAAATCTTGTGTCATAGCTTGTGACATAACAGAAGTCATGTGTGCAACTTGACCGTGAGTGCTACACACAGCAGACTGACAATTGTCCGTCAAAGTTTGACAGACGCTTTCAAGACTTTGCTTTACTTGAGCTAGTTGCTACATTTATGTGCAACCCATTTCAAGAAGATGCTGAAGTTGATTCACTCATATCAAAAATTGCAACAGTGTTTCATCTGAACTCCTCTGGAGTGGAGGATGATATTTTAACACTACAGGCTGAAACTGAGCTGAAGTTATGGAACTTGCTCACTGAGGAAAAACTACACAAATCTAAGGAAATGTGGTACCTTCTTGACTGCATTATTTGGCTCAATTTATTTATGCAAGTCAGCCTTTCCCCACACAAAGATTATTAAGTTCAAATACCATTCTACCATGACTGATGAACTGAGGACGGCCATCAGCAGCCACTGTCCAGACTATGCAACCCTGGCCGATTCCTTACAGTGCAAGTGATCAGAATAAGGTAATGGCCATAAATGTAGAGAATTGTATTGTGCCATACAGGTTCATGCTGTTATGCAAGGTACACAAACATATATTGTAAATATGTTATACTTAGTGTGTGTGCGTGTGTGTATAAAACATGTTTAACATTTTTATTGTATTGTAGGCCAAAAAAGTATGGGCATTAATGCTCTACGACATGTGCTATGAGCACCTTTTTCTGATGTTGTTATGAGTGATTATTTTTCAGGATAAAACTTTATGCTATTGAAAAAGGAAAAATAAATAAATAATAAAATCAAAACTCCAGAAAAAACATTTAAACTATAACTAATTTAAAAATTACTATAAAAAAGAAAAAAATCCATTATCTTTCATCCTCACCACTTGATAGAAAAATCAGCCCCTCCCAATCATGTACAGACTAAAATAAGTCTAAAAACCTGTTTTCAGTATGCAAAAGTAATTTTATCTTTTTTTTTTTTTTTTTTTTTAATACCAATTCAATTGGATATATTTTGGGATTATAAATGCAAACCAAGAAATATATACCACGCTTATGAAAAATGTAGTGTGACATCTTTTCTTCTTCATTACAAGACAATGGATGCTAATCTACACAGATTTTTCCAGCACTTGGAAACATTGGAAAGGTTATTTGTGGATCAAACAAATTATTCCTAAAAAGAAGGATCTGGACATTAGTTACTTACTCTGCTTCAGCAGCTGCATCTTGCATGGCAGTGTTGTATAAACCTTTCAGTTTATTTTTGTAATAGGGCGTGACTGAAAAAGAGAAAACAATTTAAATTGTTATTTTTCAATAAAAATTAAATTGTTATTTTTCTTAATGAAACAGGAATTAAAAACATTGGCAAAAAAAAAAAAAAAAAAAAAAAAAAAAACGTGGAGGAGGGGGGTGTTACCAGAAAGAACAAGGAAATTAGAAATCAGTCATTTAAAAATTTTGAATGGGTTAGATGAAATAAAAGTTGAGCAGAAATTTGAAATGTCAACTGTGTACATTACTTCCAAGTATCAGGAAACAGGACATTCATTAATCAAATCAAGTATACATGGTCCTAGAGTTACGACAGAGTTCCATTTCTATGTGTGCAAGTTGGAACGTACCTGCAAATTTCCATGAGTAAGCACTTACATCACTCACCTATGCTTAAGCAATGGTAAAGTAATAATCTAGGACATAACATATTTCTATGATATACGTTAACATAATTAGAACTAAAAAGACACACGGAGGACATAAATACATAAAATGAAATGGTTTTAAACTGCTTGTATATTTATTATCAATAATGTCATTGGTTCTTGGTAGATGAGATGGCAAAGAATAAGATCCAGACTCTCTTGCAGTACTCGGAAACTCAGGAAGTCACCAACTTATAGCTTAACAAGAAAATGTCCTTATCTCTGTACAAGGCAAAGAGCATAAGTTGAAACAAGATTAACGGAGATTGTGTCGCAACCACAAATCATCATAGGCCACGACTGTTGTAACCTGAAGGACTTACTAAAGATTTTTTTTTTTTTTCCGAATCATTTCAACTCAAGCAAGGCGGGAATGCCACTAGTATGCAGGGGGTTACAGAGAGTGAAGGTGAGAGAAAAAACTGGGTATAGTGGGTACAGAGGAAAGGGTTCAAGAAGATAGATGGCAATTGATGTTGCATTTAGATTTTTGAAGATTGTAGTTATCAGAGAAGCAAGGAAACCGAAGGGAGTTCCACACAGGCAGGAAGTGCAAGAAAAGAAACTTGTGAAGTAGAAGTGGCAGTTACATTTACCTAATTAAATAGTAAAAGGGTGGGACGGACTGAGATGCCAATCTAGTAGCACACTTAAACTAATGTAGTCTGGGTACCAGGGAAAAAAAGCCTGTCAGAGCAGTAGCCATAAAAATATTTGTAGAAAATACAGAGGGAAACTACCCCACGTCGGTGTGAAAGTGACTGAAGTTGAGATGCTAGTCAGATCAATTACATTGCAGATCCTTCTTTGGATTTTGCCAAGAACCTCGAGATGAGTAGCAGGAGCACCTGACCAGATATGGCAACAGTATTCAATGCATGGGCGAATTGTAGATTTGTAAATGTGCAAGATGGACCAACAAGAAAAACTTTCTGGCACAATACAGTGACCCAACTTTCCTTGCAGTAGATGCAGCTATTGATTCAATGTAGTTGTTCCACTTCAAGTCAGTTGAAAATGTGAGGACAAGAAGACACAGTATGTTGTTCTCCATGAGTCTAGCATCAGCTATGCTAATGGTAAGTAGGAAAGTTTCTCTATGGTGGTTAAATAAGAGCAGTTTTGTTTTGGAAGCATTGAAATTTACAAGCCATTTCCTGACCTAGTTAACCACTGATTGGAAGTCTTTGTCAAGAGCAGCAGCCAGGTTAACTGACAGATTTGCTATTGAAACAAGAGTAAATGGTAGTGTCATCAGCATAAATGTCGATTTGGGGAACTGATGACATGAGGAAGATCATTGAAGAAGATCAGAAACAGCATATGACCTTGCGGGACACCCAGGTTTGTATTCAGGATCTGGAAGTGAACCCATTCAAAACAACCTTTATTTCACAATTTGATAGGAATGATTGGATTAAATCAAACTTCAAGTAATGCCATATCTATGGAAGTTATGTAGAAGACCAGAATGCCAAACCCTGTCAAACACCATTGAGGTATTTAGAACCATAGTTCAAACTTCACAATTATTATCAAAAGTTTGATATACATATTCAGTGATGGCCATTAGAATAGCAGTGGTAGACCTGGCAAAATGGAAACCATATTGGTTGTGAGAGGTAAAATGTTTAAGCACTTCAGCATTGATTAAAGCCTCAAATACTTTGCCAAAAAACGGTAGGAGACTAATAGGGCAATAGAGGAGTCAGAAGGTTCTCCAGAGTTCTTAAAAACAGGAACTACAAAGGAGGACTTCCAACAAGCAGGAATCAGCAAAACTGGAGCCAGTTCAGTAGCACATTTCTTTAGGACGACAACTGGGATCCTGTCACCTCTGCTTGAATTATTAGAAATAATGTCCGAGACCCGTGACAGGGTTATGCGCATATCACTCAGTAGAGACACTGTTCTAGAAGGGAAATCAGGTGTGGGTGCTCCATTTGAGTAGAGTGTTGAGTTGGAAGAGAATTTCTGAGCAAAGCATTCAACCTTATCTGCTGTAGATGTCAGGATTTTTGAATTGATTGAATAGAGAGGGATTGAGGATTTTTAACTTTAATACATAAATAGAGAAAAGTTGTTGTTCTATGGGCCACGTCTCTTCAGGACCGACAATCATGGCTCTTCACAATTTCCTCTACCTTGTGGTTCTTAGCATTTTTCTCCTTTTGCTAAGGCTACAGTTCTACCATCCATTCACACCTCATCAGATAAGTAGCTCCCTATATCCCTTGCTTTCAATATGCCCCATGAGGTTTTCCAAGTCCTCCTTATTATGCACCCAAGGAATTTTAGTTATCTCTTCTTGATTTTGAGTATAAGTGTTCTTTCTGTTGCCATTTTCTTCAAGATTTCCTTTATGTTTACTCACTGTCCATAGAATTCTCAGTATCCTTCTTTAGAGCCACATTTCTGTTACCTCCAGTTTCCTCCTCATCGATGGAGAGATTGTTTACTATTCACTGCCATACGAGAGGATGGACATCACATAACAATCCAGTACTCATTGTTTATAACAAAATTTTTCCATTTCTCAGCACTTGGCATAGCTTTTGGAATGCTTCTTTTATTAGTCCAATGTGTTCAGATCCTGGTGTTGTATTTTCCATCCCCTGTTAAAACACTTCCAAGATGTTTATTATCTTTGCCTCTCATATGTGGTGCACAGGATATGTGATTTCAACGTCTGAGTATCATATGTGGTGCACACGAGCCATGATTTTAAAAGAGTTGTAAAACTAAGGATGCTTAAGAAAAGCACCTACTATTTAGCAGGACATCTTAGGAAAGGCTTAATCTAATATTTTATGCATCATATATGACCACAGAACACTTGACTGATAATGTAAGGCCTCAAATGAAAGACATCTATTTTTCCACTTTATTGAAATGATTATAACCTTTGGATCAAATGATGCACAGAGCATAGTGTAAATAACTTAGAATTTGTATGTTTGCAGGTTTTTATTATGTGAAACACTATATATCAGCACATTCTATTTGCCAAATGAGTTACCTTCAAATCTGAAAACAAGCATGAATGTTTGGATAGTACACATGATAATGCCCTGGACAGGCAAAGGGTTAATCTTCTGCACCTGCTTGATACTGACATCTCCAATTTGTAATTCACATCTTGGGCTGATGACTACACTTTGTCTTCTTGCAATTGATAGTTTTTTTTTCTTGCTTTTGTCTACTATCCAAGAATCCTCTAGTCAGCCATCAACAAAGAGATTGTTATGATTACATCCACTAATAATAAGTAGGAGTCTCCAGTTCTCTTAGGATAGTGCCACTGTAGAGGTGAATAAATCTAGGAAGAAACATCCAATGAAACCAGAAAAGGTATTCATTGTACAGTAGATTTTTATGACATGCACTACACATCCAACTGACACCTGTAATATGGCTACTGGCTTACAAACACTTTCCATGAGAAGAAAAAAAAATAAAATTTTTTCTTCATTTATTATAGCCAGTCAAAGAGCAAATTTAATCCCAAATTAGGCCATGCTCTGCATCCAAGGACACAGACACACACACACAAAAATTGCTTCAGCCAAATGATTTTTTTCACTGATCAATTTGGAGGTTGGCACAGAATGTTGGTTATTACATGTAAAATTAATAAATACTGAGAGAACATTTTGGATGATTTAATTTCTTCTTTAGGAATAAAAATTGTATACTTCCAGTGCAACAGAGTTTGTAGTTCACAATACATTGGAACAGCAACAGAGAAAGAGTGAGACGACTCCTTCTTTGTAATAAGCAGATGCCCTAATTAGTTCTTTGGTGGTCAGAAGAGTGGACCAGCCTGACCCACATCCTGGCAAAAGGATAGAGAGAACCAACCATAAAGCCTGCTTTTCCTAGGTTTGTACTGAGGTTGGTATGTGGTCGGAAAGTGCAGTGAATGTTTATAGGATTGTCCTTCACTTTGGTACAGGTTTTTATTCAAATATCAAGTTAGCTGTCCTTAAAAATGTCAGTGCTAATGTTGATAATGAGATAAGGTGATACTTTTCAGAGGATTTAAATATTAAAATTTTACTTTATTAAACTGTCTACTACTATAGATTAATGAAAAGTTGAATTTTTAAAACTAAAAAGAAAATGAACACCAAGTGAAAGAGGAAAAAAAAGAAAGAAGTTTACTTCTCTGTTCTTGCTGCATTCGTTCATGAGTTTTTGAGATATTTGTTAGATTGTGTTCTCCACGAGCACGCTCTTCCTACAATAAAAAACAAGAAAAAGCCATTAATATACAAATAGACATTTCAGGAAAAGCCAAGACATACATTAAATCAGAAGAAAGTTGAGCAGTAAACTGAAAGACAATAAGCCTGGAGGTTTGACTACAAATATCAGTCACTTAAAAGAAAATAGATGTTTTTTTTTGTTGTTAAAGTTTCTCAATAAAAATCCTTGATACTTGTAGGGTATATTGGCATTTCTACTTTGATCGAAGCTAATTTTATAAATGAACCCAAAATATTCCAAGGTCTTTTCTGCAGGCAGTTTAAGATTTATAAAAATCTATTATGGAATATTTAATAACACCAATGTTACTGCTCTGTTCTTTCTGCCGGGAAGCAAAAAAGGCAGAAAACATCATGTTTAACAATACCCAAGTCTCTCTAACAAATTGAAATCTAAAGAGGAAATTTTGATTATCCACAAATTCTTAAACAGAGAACTGAACACAACATTTCACTATTTTCAATGGTTTACTAACCAGGAATGAAATGCTTGTGTGCTTCTCATATTTTTAGAGCAAATGATAGCAACAAATATAAAAAGCCATGATTATCAGTTTAGTTTCATCTATGGATAGTTTTGATATGTTTCTGGTAGAGAATGACATTCATCATCATCCACAATGAGTGACTTAAGTTCTAGAGGAAATATCATGAAATCCAGAATTGTCAACAACTCAAACATTTCAATAGCGCATTATATAAAAAAAATATACAGCTTTTGTGAATAGAAAGACTCATCTTTCAGCATAACAACACAAGGCTTCTGTAAGCAAAACAAAACCTAGGGAAAATAAAATCATTTGGCTGAAAAATGTTTGACCTATTCTCAATATTTACAAGATTGAGAATCTGATTTTTTTTTTTTTTTTAGTTCTAGGATATTCAGATCAGCTTTCTTAACTTTCTATTCATAATAAACTCTAGAATTTTATTAGCAGGAAAATTAATAATTGCCTTGACATTAGGATATTGTAAGTGATGACAATAATTATATTATTAATATATACTGCATTTGACAGACCAAAGATTGCCTTGCATCTTATATAGAGGCAAGAACTTTTCATGAGCCGACATTTCGAATTCTCTAGCAGATGTTTAAATTGGGAGTGCTTCATATATGATGCAACTTGTATACCATCAAATATGGTCAATGATATATGAATTCTTAATTAATATACAGTATTATTATCCTCATCTTTGCTGCTGTTATCACAACATTCCCTCATGTGTATATCAATCTGGGTAACTTACAGGGAATTAAGAACTTAACCATTTTGTTCTCATTCCACTGGGAACCAGACCCTCCCCACCCGGGAGAACGTACTAACATTGCAATAGATAATCTGATAGAAATATTAACCTTCTGTGTATAGACAACATTCTTCTAACTACAGTCTGCATTACCAACAGGAAAAATAGCTTGGCTATTGGTCTACCGCAGTTACCATTAATGGTGAATATATACATGGAATACTACGGGGAAATGTCTATATGAACGGCACCACTAAAGCCAACAGTATAGCTGAGATACACAAATGACATCTTCATACTCTGCCCATACTGTGAAGTTGTATAAATATTGCTGGATCATGTGAACTCAATAAGGCCCTCAATCCAGTTCAAAACAGAAGAAAATAATCAGCTAGACTTCTTGGATGTACTAATAACATGCATAGAGAATGGATTCAAAACATTCGTATATCACAAGAAAACCTTCACTGGACAATACCTCGACTCCAATTCTCACAATCCATACAGTATGAAGAAAAGGATCATCCAATGTCTATAACACCAAGTAAAAATTATAAGTGTCAACCCAGATACATACCAACAAGAAGTGATCAGGATCAAGCATACCCATCAGAATAACAACTACCCTGCAAACATAACCTCAGTGTCTGCAGGTGGAAACAGAAGGGTCAAGGAGGAATACTAGAAAACTGTCACAACAAGAGCTTATTGGAAAAAGGTCCAGAAGATCTGCAGTCCATACAACATCAGGACAAGATGAAGCAGCTTCACTCTATGGAGAAATCTCTGCCAAGTAAAGGCTTAACACTGGGGAGAATATAACCAAGAACCATGTTTACTCCATTCCTTGCAATTGTAGCAAAGAATATAAAGGTGAAAGAAGCCAACCCTTAAAAGGCTGGAAAAATATCAAAATTCCATAGTGAGGGGTGCCACAATGAAACTGAGCATGGCTGATCATGTATGGAGGGGAAAGAGTAGTCCTCAGCTTCTGTGGAATGAAGTGAAAATACTGGACAAGGAAGAACTCTAAAGAATTAAACTTAAAGAATCAGCCCGTATACTAGGCTGAGGATGTCCTTAGTAGACCTAGCATAGAAGTAAATGATATATTAGACACTAATGAATAAAGACAAATGACATCAAGTATTCAGCAGCAGCACTAATCAGCAAACAAGTTAGGTTTAAAGATCCAAGTTCACTACGGGACAATAGCCTCGTGGATTAAAGTGTTGGTTTGTGAATTTGGTGACATTGTAATTGTTAGTTGGCAGAGCAGTCTGTACTTGGACTCCGTGGAAACAGGGTAAGCAATAACTGAGTAGTACTAATAAGAACTAGACAAGATATCCCTAGACATGGGCAATGGAATGAGAACAGGCTACTCTCATAGATTAAATAAAGGGCTCAGATCAGAATTCCCTGTAGGTTAGCCAGACCAATATACACACCCGATGAAGACCCAAATGTTGCAATAACAAGAATGAGGATAATTGTCTGAATGTAAATAATGATAACTCCTCATCCCAGAAATAATATACAGTATGTTACCACTATAAGAAAATCATTGAGGTTCATTAAGTGTTGTTGCAGAAAATGCTCAGTCAGGTTAAATTGATGGCCAAGAATGTCAGCAATGACAAGATTCAAATTAAACAAAGTTTCAATTAGCACTAAAAAAAAAAAAAAAAAAAAAAATTCAGTCAATTGCTCCAAAATGAATCTCTCAATAATGAAGTTTAAGAGGTTGTTTCATTCTCTGGCTGTTCAATAAGTAAATCAAAAGCAGTTTCCTCACAGCAGAAACTCATCTTATTTCAAGGGGTAAAAAGCTAGTTGCCGTTACTGGAAGTTTGGGGAGTTTTGGGCACTTTACCCAAATAGACTTTCCTCTTCTTTTCTATTTTGGAGGCACATAAACAATATGCGAAAGTTCAAGGAACTTAAAGCACGAAATGGATTCCTCAAAAAGAAAAAAAAAAAAAAAAAAAAAAAACTTAATGAAAATTTGATTATTTCCTGACGAAGCAATTTCAAGATAAGTGAAATACCTGCTAAGACATGAGAAGTAATGGATAACTTGGCAGGTGAGCAGATTGATCAGTTAAAAATACCCCCAAATTCTGACTGGCCTGTAGTATACACAGTGTCTGGAAGGTTTCCAGCCATTTTGAGTATTTCAAGAGCCAATTGTACAGCCCTAATATAACTTGGCAACAAAAAGATACTCAGCTCTCAAAGGTGCCACTAATGTGAACGGGGGGGGGTATACATTCAGTATGACAAAGCAGCTGCCCATTCTTCAAGTCCCATGTAAAGATTTCTTCCCTCTCTTCAATTACATCACTAGAAATGTTAACTTTCCAACTACAGTTCAGATTTGGACCCCTAACATTTCTGGCTTTACCCAAAGATAAAAATCACCTTTGAAATGGTGGCAATTTCAGAGTGTGGACAAGATTAAAGAGAACATAATGATCTTGAATGAGAATATTCAGACTATTTTGAAAAGTGAAAAGGATGCAAATTGTAAAAGATCCCAATGGGAATACTTTGAAGAGGGCTAAGGTATCAAATAGATTATTATTTTTCATTAATATTAAATGGTTGAATGCTTTCCAGATATATTGTAGGAGATTCTTTACTAGTATGGCTGACCACTTGTCTCAAAACATGCCCATCTACTAGAGCAAGTAGCTAATCCTTGTTGCAGATGCCCACTCAGGCACATATCTAATATATCCACAGAGCCAACCTATTGTTTATACTGCAATTATGCTGAACAGACCTTAGTTACAGTTTCTGTGAAAGAGAGATCAATTTCACACAATCAGTAACTGAACAAGAATGGTATGTTCAAACCCTGAGTCATGATGCCTTGTGATCATGAGCTTCTAAACAGTCTCAACTATTCAATTTCATTCATGAGGGATGTATCAACCCAAAGCATGATTTTCAGGCACTTCCCAATGGAGTGGCATGCTAGGATGGTCTTCCCCAGATGATATTACCAATGTTGCTGCCTTGACAAATTAATAATAGTGGGATTCATACCCAGGTTTTAGTGTCAAAATGTTAACTTTGCTATGCACCCATTTTTTTTTTCATAAAAGTCCAATATTAAAATACAATAAAATGCCATGAAAATACACTACTTAAATGTAACCAGATGGGAGAGGAGAAAAAATAAATAAATAATTCTTCACCAACTCTTAAAACTTAAGATATAAGAGAAATGATTATGCAGGATTTGAGAGATTTCAACATATTTGCTAACATTATTTTTGGGCTTAAGAAAAAAATTCTGTTTGCAAGCAAAAGAAAAAATAAATACAAATGAATACTATCTACTTATTTTTTTTTTTAACTTAATACTTCATTCCCCACCACACACACATTCTTTAAAATATTCCCTTTCTTCTGCAGTGGAGAAAAACCACCCACAGCCAACATTGTCTAGTAACAAGAGTCATTAGATGGAGAGCAAGTGCTGAAGAATGGCATCTGCCTAGGAGCAGACAAAAAAAAAAAAAAAAAAAAAAAAAAAAAAACAAGAGTACCCCACACCCAGTTTAATTTATCTACCCTTAGCCTTGGGAAGGATAGTCTTGCAGCTGGGCCAAGAAATTCTATAGGCCTTAAAAAAGTGAATGTTAGACAGCAATGCATTCACAGGGTGTGAAGAGAGCAAATTTTTCCCATAGAATTTGCAAGTGGAAAAAAGAAACAAGAGAACAAGTATTTACCCACCCATGTACCCATGGGTCTGGAATTCCAAACTTTGGCACAGTCACAACTGACAAACTTAAAGGCTGTCTTCCAAATTTACTGCATTATTTCTCAGATAAATTAGTGACTAGAGTGGGAAATAAAACTGGCTCCACACGGAGACCTAAGCAGAAATTTTAGTCTTGTCAGTAAATGAATTATGAATGCCAACAAAATGAAAATTAATAAACACATTCACAAACTGACATCAAAAACAGCTGTTTTGAAGATAAGGCTGTTAATAAAACATGTTAAAATGACAAATCTTAGATGCAATTTAAAAGAAAAAAAAAGAAAGAGTAAAATATAAAACTTGTTAATAAAAACTGTATTCAAATTCTCAAAAGCATAACATTTCTTACATCTGGGAAAATTGGTTCACTATGTCATGCCAGACAATTCTCTCTAACAAGAGTCCATCTTGCACATTTATAAATCTACCATTCATTGAACATTACTACCATATCTGGTCTGGTGCATCTGCTATACCGGATGTAACAGCAAAATTGTTCAATTATTAGATTAAGCTTTGAACTGTTGTATATTAAAAATGATTTAAGATATCTTATTGGAATATTCCAAGGTTTTTATAACACTATTGGAGTCTATATTGAGCAATAAGAATGTATAATTTACTAAGCTAAACAGAAGAATTGTGATGAAATCAATCATAAACAAAAATGACATGTTAATTATTAATTAATCATAGCTAAGGATCAGCAGCTCATGAAGGATCAAAATAAAGTTCAAATATACATACATTTTATATAATTTCAGGATCATTTTCCAACTTATTCAAGATGATCTTTTCCATCTCTAACCTTCTAACTTTCTGTTCTGGAGCAACAAGGTGCTTCACAGGTTTCACGTATGATTTCATTTTCAAGTCTTTTTTCACTGCTCTTTGAACTAGCTGAAACTACTCTTTCACGTGCCAAACGGCCTATAGATTGAGCTGAAGCTTTTCTAATTGACTGTTGTGACCTCCTGGTCCTGTTTTCCTCTCTACTGTTCCCTCTTTTTTAAACTTATTATTATGGACTTTGAAGATGGAAGCCAGAGTATGAATGTTGGTATCATATCATTACTGAAGGACTGAATGATCTTTTCCCTCTCGCCATTGCTCATTTGGGAAGACAGTGGGGCTGACACAAAATGATTTTAACCTGTTCTCTTTCTAGCTGAATAACTCAAAGGGTTTGTCAGTGATTCTTATGACAAATGGTGTCAAGATGGCTAAACACCTTATCTAAACCCTGGAAAAAAGAAACTCAATTAGTTTAGTGGTTTTTAGATATTAAACATTTTGTGGGATGGATAATTTTGCTGTTACACCCAGTATATCGCAAGATTCTTGACAAAATCCAATGAAGGGTCTGTAGTGTTAAGTCCCAACGTCATATCTCAACTTGTCAATTTGTTACCACTATGATATGGCCTCCCTCTGTCTTTTCTATAAATATTTTCATGGCAATTGTCCTAATGAGCTCTCTTCCTTGGTACCTCAATTGCATGAATTTAAGCATACGACTAGATTGATAAATAAATCTCATAGTTTTACTGTTGAAATAGCAAGATGTAAGTATAACTCATTTTCTAAGTTTCTTTTTTCACAGTTCTCACCTGTGGAACTTTTGATATCTTGCTTTCTTGCCTCCCATGTTCTTCAATGCAACATTCTTTCAATATAATGTCATTCTCCATCTTCTGTCTTTCTGAATCCAGTTCTTTTTATTGTCCTTTCAAGTCTTCTCATTCTCTTTCACTCTCAGTAACTCCTTGCATCTTAGTGACATTAACACCTTGCTTGGAGTGAAATGATTATTTGCTATTAAGACCAGCATGCTCAAACTGGCAGTTATACTCACAACATTTTGAATGTTGTACCCACCAGCCCTAATCAGATATCTGTTGTACAGAGTTTCTCAAAATTTCAAACTGAACACTTTATTCAATCTACAAGAACAGATTGTTTTCATTCCACTTTACATGCTTAAGGGACATGACAGAGTTAATACTCAATAGCCTTATTCACTCTTATGTTGTGTGACCATTTCTCCCATTGAATCAGAGTATGCAACTTTCCAGCACTACAAGACTCAGAGATTGAACTCACAACTACCAGGGAATCAAATGTTTTAACTAATACTGTGATCTACAAGACTTGGGAGCTGAAATTCTTTTATTGTCACTATGGTCCAGAAAAAAAAAAAAAAAAGACAAGTGATACAAAGGTGAATAAAGACCTGTGAATATTAATGAAATGCAACACAGAATGAGAACACTGTGCCTCTGTGGACTGAATAAAGGATCTGGTTTGAAATTTCAAGATTACTGAATATGACAGAGACACATAAAGAAGGCTGGAGAGTACAAGAGCCAAACTGTTGTTAATACAACAACCAGGTCATGTTATAGCCACATTTACAACAGTATAGCTTGGTCTTTATATCAGTTGTTTCATATACAATGGCCAATCTCAATTGCACAAATAAAACAGATTTTTAAACATTAAAATTGACCCTATTTGATTCTCTGGACCTCAAACTAAGAGGTTTGTAATAAAAATAACTTCATAAAAAAAAAAAAATTTTAAAGGATAAAAAACCTTTAAACATCAAGAAATGTATTTCATTAAATAAAAAGCTCAACAAACATAGAGAATTACAGATGAGGATGGCAATTCCACAGAAACTATTACTAATATGACTCAGCTTAATTAGCTTGATTCATAAAGTCTGACATTATCATGCAACGCAATAGGTTAGTATGTCCTGTCAAATTGTACACCTCTAAACAAAGTGAATGTTATTTTGAACAAAGCCTTCAAAGTATTCTTTATATAGTATTCTACTTTAAATGAAACAATTCAGTAGGTTTTGAACAATGTGGTATTAATGATATTTGCCTCACAAGACCAGCATTTGTTGACAGGAATATTGGTATAAAGGGATTTGGCATCTAAACTAGCCACAAATTTATGTCCTATTAAGCAACAAAACAACTCAGAGTAATGAATTTGACCAAAATTAAAATAAAATTTTTTTGCTGCTTCAATTAAAGGAATGTAATTAAACTAAGATAAAAAAAAATATATAGAGAAGCACTGACTTGTAAATCTTCCATGGTGAAATTTGCATCCAGATTCTTACATTTCCCTTTTAAGTTTTCTGCTGTCACAATATGGAATATTTAAAAACAAACAAAAGCATTGGGAAACCAAATGAAATCAGCTGTGTGTCTTTATATGTCAGATGCTAGAAGTTTTAAAATTTAGCATTCCTAAAACCAACTTTATAATAACCAAGTTAAAAAAAAAAAAAAATTAGTAAGCTAATACTGACACACATGTTAAAATGATTACATGTAAAAATCAAGTATGCTTTGTATTGCATGAAAATAACACTGAAAATATTTTTTCCATGAATTTCCTAAAAGTACTGCTAATAGAAACAGATGTACATGAAAATGTTTGTATGAAATTAAAATATTAACTTTTACATGTCCTAAAATCAAATAAAATTTGTATACAATCTCAATGCAAGTGATAAACTACATCCCACTTACTTGGAAGAATTATCTCTCCTAACACAGAAGACCCTTCTCTTATATATATATATATATATATATATATATATATATATATATAAAAAGACTACTATTATTCCAAAGTTTTTGTGCATTCTTCTTTTTTGCTGGTTTCATTGAACTAAGCAAAAGAAAATTCAGATAGGTTTTCTTTAATTGGCTTTGTTTTAGTTAGATTAAACCATGTAAAGTAGGGAAAAATAAGTTATCAGTTCAACTTACCTGCACTTGGTTGATAAGGTGGTAAAGTTCTTTGAGAATTTCCTTAACTTTGATCTCTGCAGCAGCCGTGCTATTTGTGGCACTGATGTCAGAATTATTGGGACTGCTCGTATGACCAGCATGACTACTGTTACCTGATGAAGCTTTGGTTCGTCCCATTTTGGATTTACAAACTGTCCTTTTTTTTTTTTCTTTTTTTTTTTTGGTTACTTTATTCTTAAATTAAGTTTCAGGATGATTGGTTTTATCACAATATATGTAAACGCTCACAATGTCAGTGGATAAAATGATGACAACGATCTAGAAATGAAAATCAAATATTAGATTAAGAGAATAAAAACTTAGTAAATGTGAATGCATACATAAAAAAAACAAAGTCTTGGCTATTAGTCTTAGTACACAAATAGAATTAGCTCAGACTTGACCAACAAATGGACAACCACATCTCTGAACTAACTCAAAATAATACAAGTAGCCAGTGGTCAGATTTGAATCTGCAACTTGGATAACCAATTTGGCTGGTTATCCAAGTTGCAATATAAATTTACTTGTAGATTTTTTTTTTTTTGTTTAAACTAAATAGATCATAATATTGTCATATAGAAGAAAAAGTGGATTGAATCAATAAGTTTTGTAAATTTAGTCACAAATATGTGATTTGTTTTCCTAGTTATTCACATTATAAACAATATAAAAGCTGATCTTGTTTAACTGAGTCAGTGGAAACATGGGGCATGTACGTAGATATATATAATAAATTGTCATATTTGAAATTGTAGAAGTATTTTTTGATTATGTTATGGGAGGGGGCATAAACATGTATCCTTAACCACGATATCTCCCATTTAAAATCTCAACATTTGATTACATTTTGACTTGTGTGCCTCCACAATGAGATTTGTTAGAAAAAAAACTTTTAGGAACTAACACAGTGAATGTCTCAATAGAATTGTTTTTCATATCAAATTAAAATAGTCACAAACAGATTGAAAACAAAAGATCTCAAATAAAAATTGAAAATTACTTTCGTATGAAAATTTCAACTAGTGTACTTGAATTTTCAACTGAAAAGCCATAACCTTTTCCTATTCCACACATTTTCCGATTCCCTTCCATATTCTTTAGTTGATGTTTGTTGTTAACGTTTCAGCCAATGTTCGCTGGCCTTCTTCAACAAATGTTACTGTTTTTAGAATTTTGGTTTTACTATTTCACTGTATTTTATTTTTACTTTACAAAGAAAACTGCTTTAACAAAATTTCTTCAAGTCTTAAGTTAGTTTAATATTGAGATGCTTAGTTTGGGGGGTATACTACGCGACTTCTGAAGAACACAACATACACTTGTATCCACCGAAGAGCTACACAAAAATAACATCTTGAAAAATAAGAATGTAAATAAATAAATGAATTCAAAATGCAAATACTACTGATCAGCTATCTCCAAACCGAAACTTTTTTTTTCAGTTATATACCCTTAGAAGCTAAAAAATATTATTAAATTCGCATGATGGCGATGTTAAATCTTAATTACTCAGAAGGTAATTTAAAATTAAATTATATAAGCCCCCAGTTTAATTTTCCAGTAGGTTAATTAAAATTGCCCTAGTATCAGACACCCTTTGTTATGTACACTGACTAGTCTAAAAAAAAAAAAAAAAAAAAAAAAAATGTACAATTTTCAAAAATATCCTATTACTTTTTTAGATTTGTTTATCTTTTCGTCCCGATCTTTAAAAAAAAAAAAACTTTACAGTTTAAGTCAGTGCACGAGTGTCGTGATTTTTTTTTTTAAACCAAAATGAAAATTTGTGAATTTTTTTCCCACGTTTAATAATTATTTTAATTTTATTTTAAATAAAATTACTATATGCAATATGTGATGTTAATAAGAGGTTAAAATTAGAAAAAAAAGTCTAGCTACGACCGTGTAATTTCAAATCATCACCAATAAAAAAAAAAATGGTTTCTCAATGTTTGCTTTCATCGTAGCTTTTTCACGTGGCTTAGAAAAAGAAAATAAGTTGAGATTTCTTCTTAAAAAAAACAAAAAAACCCGAAAATATCCTTGTCTGAGATTTATACAAACACATTCACAAGTCTAATTATAAAATTACGTATCCTAAAAAAAATGTGGCGGTAGTTAAAGACAATAAGTAACTAAATTAAAATGGAATTAATTTTCAGAAAATGAAAAATGACCTTGTTTTAAAATTGAAAAAATATTAAGGTCTAGAAAAGTGGCAACATAAAACAGAAAAATACGTTCTTAAAAAAAAAAAGAAAAGAAAAATAATTGAAACTGATTCACATTTTTATCGATATGTATAATTTAATTTTATCTACGAAAATTAATCTGAATTTAAAAGCCTAAACTCAAAAAAAAAAAAAAAAAAGAAAATTACGGTTGTCAAGAAAGGTAATAAACAACAAATTCTAATGTTAATAATAAAATAATTAAAATAAGATAACTTCTTTTTATTTTAAAATACTTAAGATCTGATAAAGCAAATAAATTAAATTTTATTTTATATGCAGGTTTACCGAATATTACATTTCTGATCACCCATAGAAAGATTGTTTTTCTCATAACACTGACTATGGCCATGTTATTTTCTCACTTTACACACGATATTTAATTTTTAAAAGTAAAAAAAAAAGAGAATTTTTCTCCCAATTTAAATTAAACAAAAGTTAGACTTACTTTTTTTTTTTAATATATATATATATACTTTTTTTCAGAAGGACATTTGTGGCCCTTCTTTGTTTAACAGACGACGACAATAGAAAAATAATTTGGAATTTTGTTAAAAAAACAGTTTATGATGTTGGTGATTCATGATGCTATGGGTCATCTCATTTTTACACAGGGTCCAAAAAGCACATCTCACAGGGAAACCACGTTCCGAAACAGTCGCAGGTTAAATAAATAAAAATTAAAAAAAAGAAGCAAGCCTCAGTCAGCCGAAATCTCGTCTCATTATATTTTTTTTTTTTTTTTTGCTTCAGGAAAAAAAAAAAGCGAGTAGGCTTCTAGTTTACAAAAGATATTTTAAAGAGGAACATCACCTCTCTCCTCGCTGAGACCCGCCATATTGTTCCCTATAGTGAGAGCCGCTGGGGCCTGTGATTGGTCAGCTGGGATCACGTGATCATCACCCAAAGACTCCGGCTGGAGAAAAAGTTATCTGCCCCTTTTTTGTTTGCTGTTTTTTTTTTTAAAGTTGTATTTTTGCTTTTGGTTCCCAGGGCTGGGCGTCGTGTAATTTTCAAGAGAGAGATTCAGGCTGAAAAGGAAAGAAGGCAAAAAAATATTTCTAGAGATTGCGTAATGCCATGACATCATCGGCGAGGTAAAAGGGTGATAGCAGAAAGAAAAACGAAAGCATTTCAAGGGTCGGTACCATTATCCAAAAAAGGACATTGTTCTTTATTTGTCGACAAAAATTAGAATTCTTTGAAATAATGAGAACAAAGGAAAAATGTAAGAAAAATAATCATATGAAACACCTGTTTAAAGAGAATAATAAATTAAAGGCATGTCTCATCAAAAAAAAATTAAACAAAGCAGTCAGTAAGAGATAGACCAAGAAATTCAGTAAAAAAAATAATTGAATAAAATAGAATGGAAAGAATAAGACATTGTAGTGGGGATTTGACTCTGTAAACCAAAATAATTTCCCAAGAACAATTAAATCTAACAGGATAGACATTACTTGGAACTCTTTGTGGGAATGAAAATTTGATCTTGTAAAAATATTCAACACGTCCACAAAGAAAAAGAAAGAAAACAGATAAATCCAAATTTTATAATTCAGAAATAGTTAAGGTGTTTTACAAAAATTGTTTGTTTCTTTTTTTAATTGTTTATTTCTTGTTTTTAATTTTCTTTTTAGTTCACTTTCTTCTTTCAAAGACAGTTTTTCAAAATAGGCAAGACACAAAAAGATTTCTTAATGACTCCTCTTACTACATCAACTTAGACTGTTATTCTTGTGGTGAGCATGAAATAATAATAACTCTCTTTACCTACCTTTAAATTTGGGCGAGCTGAGGAAAAAAACGGAAAGAAATTCATGAGCCTATGTGAAAGTTTATTTGGACCAATGCAAACCTTGACTTCACAGAAATTAGCTGATGAGCTGAGAAAAAGACAAAAAATGAAATAGCGAGCATATTAATGAATAATTTTCAACACGAATAGGTTTTTATTTTGTCTGAAACTGGTTAATTGTTAGAATATGTTTGAATAATGTGTCGGAGTTAGCTCCTCCTTAGCTCCTAACCCTTCAACAGGGATCTCTCTCCCCTGGCTATAAATACTCGCTGACCCTTCGCCTCTTCCTCTTTTTCCCTCAGGCCTTTGGGCCACCTCCTTGAGGTAAATCTCTTTTTCCTCAGGCTTCAGCCTTATACCACCTCACAGATGTGAACGCTCACAGATACAGCGTTTCCCAAATGCTGGGAACACGCTAAGAATATTATACGTATGTACGAACACTCAACACAACACACACACATAATATTCACCACAGACACTCTGTCCATGTAACTGTCCATGTAACTTGTAACCTTTCTTGCTATTAATACATATATTTGTTTACATATATTTATCGGTCTTGTGTTTGTTTTTCTTTGCCTTCTTTGGACTTAATTAGTCCAACTTTCTCATGTAGTTGGACCGGCTTGCAGGAAAAATCTTAACCCACTTGTGTTCTTCTACTTCTACTCAACATCGCCGACACGGTCCGCTACAAATGTGTCTACTATAATTTAAATCAGTTTAATTTGTTTGTTTCTTAATTTATATAGATTTTTTAAAGTTTATTTTCAAGACATGACAAACCCAATTATAGTAATAGAAGTTATTAAGATGCAGACGATCATAAAAGTAGGTCCCTCAACAGATCCACTAAAAAATGAGCATGCTATGATTAAAAAATGTCTCAAACTTAATAAAAACAAAGTTTTATCATCAAAATGTTTATATTATTATTAAAAGGAAAGATCAAAGGATTTTTTGATTATTAAATTATATTTTTTGTCCCTTTTTAGAACATGTGAAATTTTCGTCAAAAATCTTGTTTTTCTCATATCAGCAGACCCAACACGTGTAGAAAATTTTAGCATCATTTTTTGCAGTGAAAAACATATTGATTTTGAAATTCTTGCAAAAATCAAATAATTGTTGAATTTTAATGAAATTTTCAGGACTTTAAAGGAATTAAATTATTTTAGAAAATCTTGGTAAAAACATTATTTAATTTTATGAAATTTCAAGAAATTAATTTTTGTACCGCTTAATGTTTATATTAGTTATACACAGAACACCTTGGAGAAAAAAATCATCAATTTTTTTTTTGTAACACAGTTACTAAAGTTTCTAAAAATCTGCTCTGAATCATAAAATAAAAAAAATGCAATAAAACTAAGACCTTATTTAATTAGAAAAGCTTTTAATTGCTTTCATGAATAAGATATATAATGAACACTGTTGTCAGACTGAAAATGGAGTATTGCTGCCATATCTGGGCTGAAGCTGCCCAATCCATCTCATCTCCCTCCAACTAGGGATTAATAGCAGAGCTGACTGGGCTCTCTAGTTGTGGTTGACAACCAATCTAGAAGGACAATTCTGAATCCCAAGCCAGTTGCATATGGGGCTAGTAACTTTATATTCTATTACATAAGGCATATATATTTTATTAAATTGTCAATTTTTAAACATTTCATGATCATATTTATCAGAATAAGGTAAACATTATTTAAACATTTCATTTCATAATCATATTAATCAGAATAATGTAAACTTTATTTAAAAATTTCATTTCATGATCATATTTGTCAGAATAAGGTAAACTGATTATTATTATTTCATGCATTTTCATGTTTCTACCAAATGAGTACTGATTGTCTTCAAAGATTGATTCAGGCACATTTCTCATATTATTGAATAAGTGAATGATTCATTTTCTACAGCTTATCAACTCTTTACGGGTTATTTAAAGCCAGAAGATATTTATAGATTGTAAATTTTTTGCAGGATGGGGAGGGGAATATAATAATAGTTATACAAGTCTTACTAATTAACCATAGCTAGAGGGAGAAGAGGTGGATTCATACCTTTCCCAAGGGTATTTGCACGTATATGAATATAACAAATGCAAAACGAAAAGAAAATAGGATCTCTGATTAACAATTTTGAGCCATTATTCATTACACTACTCTAAACACATCCAAGCTTACAGAACATGGTTCTTATTCTTAGACCTCTCAGCACTGAACAGTCTCAAGACTTGCTTAAATAATTTCCAATTCAACCAGCCATGATTCTAGTGTTTTTGGAAACATACAAGTGCAGTGATTATTATTTCATGTATTTGCATGGTTGTACCAAATAAGAAGTGGTTATCTTTGAGGATTGTGTCAAGCAAATTCCTTATATTCTTTGAAGACCTATCAGCACTGAACAGTCTCAAGCCTTCTTTAAAATTCTAATTCATCCACTCTTCATTCCAGTGATTTCAGCAATGTTACAACTGTTGTTATTATTTTATGTGTTCATATGTTCAAACCAGGTGAACATTGTGCACTGTAAGCACCCTCCTACAATTTGAAATATGTTTCAGCTTTAAATAACCCAAGAAAGGTTGATAAGCCATAAAAATCAAATCAATCAGATTTGCAGTGATCAAAAACAGTAATAATCAGTTGGTGAAAAGGTCATCTTAGTAACAGCAATTTTCCTCAAATCTACAGCATTTACTTTAGTATTCTTGAAGACTTTAGTATTGTCATATTGTAATGAACATTACCTATCTACCCAACGAAAGAGGCACAAAATTGCCTGTGCCATACATGGCAAAGTAAATTACCTAGTGCCTTAGGACTAATTAAATGCCTCTAGGTGAGTGTGAAAAATCTATATAACTGACTGCAGCACACATAAAAACTGGCAGATTTTTTCTTTGACAGAAAACAAGGATTATGGACAGCAAGGAATATATTTGAATGAGCCAGTACAGTTCAAGGACAAAGACATGGTAGTGAGGAATGTGAAACAGATTAATACATTATTTACATTATTCAAACTATTGTCCTCATCTTTGTCACCATATTTATTACAAGGACACATGGCACAGTAGATAAAAGCGTTAGTGACAGGACCCAAAGAGTGTGAGTTCAATACCTGGTTAAGGTGGTGGAGAACTTGGAGAGGGGAATTAACAGGAGATAACTGATAAATGACATCGATTAGACATGGCACGTGGAACTAGAACAGTCTACCCCAGTGAGCGAAATAAAGGGTTCAGTTCGACATTCCAACCACCTGAAGAAGTACAACGGCCGAAACGTAATAAATATGGCGACAAAGATGAGGACAATAGTCCGAATAATGTAAATAGTGTACATAATGTCTCATCTCAGAAATATAGACAGATACTGAAGGGCCAAAATGTAATAAATATGGCAAAAAGATGAGGACAATAGTCCGAATAATGTAAATAATGTACATAATACCTCATCTCAGAAATATAGACAGATACTTAAGGGCCAAAACATAATAAATATGGCAACATATGAGATGAGGACAATAGTCTGAATAATGTAAATAATGTACATAATACCTCATCTCATAAATATAGACAGATACTGAAGGGCCGAAACTTTGTAATAAATATGGTGACAAAGATGAGGACAATAGTCCGAATAATGTAAATAGTGTACATAATACCTCCTCTCAGAAATATAGACAGATTAATACAGATATATTACTACACATGTCCAGACAGTTTCAATCCTTCCTTGGATCTCTTGTACATCTAGTCTCAAAACAGAAGCTCGAACAGTCATAAAGCACATGCAAAAGAAAAGTATGACACCCAAGGAAATCTGTGGGGAGATGGTACAGATACTTGCCAAGGACTCACCTTTCTTTATAACTGTGAAGAAGTGGGCTACGGAATTCAAGCGAGGCAGAACAGAACATGACCCTCGGTCAGATTGTCCAAAAACTTCAACCACTGATGAACAAGTTGATACCATTCGCTGTATGATTTTGGATGACAGGCGTCTTACTGCCCAGTAGATATCTCAATTAATGGTTTTGGGATAACAGTTTCAATGTTTTTGTGGGAAAAGCCTGAACTCTTCATTTCCACTGGATTGTCCAAAAAGATCTGCAATCTAGTGGATTAAAACATTAATAAAAACATTCTTGGGTCTGGTAGTGCTAAAAATCACTTATTCTGGTTCATTTGAAAACACATGACATAAAAGTGAATAAGAAATGGTAATATGTGTTATCTCCTCTAAGCATGGAAAGTAGAATGAGAATAATTTATCCCTGTGGATTGAATAAAGGGTTCGGTTCAAAATTCCAAGAAGGTTACCAAGTAAAATAAATAGACATCCTAGGAAAATGGGAAGGTACAAAAACCAAAAGTTTTTGAGTATAACCACCAAGATGCTTGCCTGAATACCAAGGTATGTAATAATGAAGATTCCTCATCTCAAAATTCTAACATAATTTACCCTGGTATTCCTCTTCCCACCTCAAATGCTTTCATTCTATCACATCTAAAAAAATGGCAAATTTTCTTTTACTACTTCATAACGACTAGAATAATATTGAAAGTCCCAGAAAATGTTACTCTTATTTTTTAAGTCAGCCTCTAGCTTGTGCCAATACCATTTCTTTACACAGTTGAACCCAAGACATTTGCAAAATTTCAAGTATATAGCTGTTCCTACTCTGTCATGCCTACTTTTGTATGCTCATTATGCCAGCTTGCTATATCCGCCTATAATGTAATTTATAGTCTTCTCTGTTTCTCTACAAAAATGACATTTGCTATTTTTCTGTATGTTGTCACAATTTTTGCTTTAACCTAATTATTTCTGATGAGTTTGTTCTGGTCGGAAATGATAAAAGATTCTGTTTTCCTTCTTACATGTCCTCTGCAAAATCATATTTATTACTTTGTACCTATATTAGTGGATACAAGTTGTTATTCTGAAAATAGGAATAACACTGAATATTTTCAAATATAGAGTCTATGTTAGCCTTGACTTGGTAATCTAGTTCACTACATACTGAATTTAAATTTTAAATTAATCTTTTTAACTAAATCAAATTAGTATTTACAAATAAGAACTTTTATAGGACTTGGACAAAAATTCTTGTTAAGAAGGATATTATTCTCAACTAGAAGCATGGCCCAGCATTGCCTGTGCTTGATTCAAAAATTGTACGACTCATACAGCACTGCACGCACTAACCTGTTTCTTCCCGCGCATAGTGTGACCTTAAATTAATCTGCATTTAGGAAATACCCAACCGGAAAAACATTTTTAAGGGTTGACCAATTGTCCATTTGCACTCTGTTTGGGGGGCGCTCAGAGTTGAAACTTCACATGGTGACTCCAAATGGCCTCCTCATAAATCCGATCGGTTTTTGCTAAAAACCGATATGCAGTTCAGGTGCAATCTGGGCGTATCGGCTTTTGAGTTTTATCTATTTTCCGCGCTGTTTAGGGGTCCGTGGTCATGAAACTTCTGGACAACACTTTTAAAGGTAGACTCTAAGAGGGTGTCAAATTTGGTTGAAATGCAATAATTCCTTCTGCAAGCAGATTTTTTCGATTATCGATTTTTTCGGAACCTGAGTCCAAACTGAAAAATTGGGCTACGTCATGTCCTTAAGGCAGCCATTTGCAAACTTGTGGTGAAAACCGCATAGAAATCAGGTGAGAAATGCAATTTAGGCGAGGTAACAATGCCCATGACAGACACACAGACAGACAACATGAGAAATATAGATAGTAGATAAGCAAACAGAGCCAAGATTATATATAGCCAAAGAAGCTGTTAACTTTGTAGACTACCAAAAACAAAAGTTTGGGACATCACTACTAGAAAGAGCTATAACAGTTAACAGGTTTGAAAAAAGTTATTCATCAATTAGATTTTTCAAATCCAGTGCAGATATTAAATGTGCAGAGCCAAGTTCAAATTTGTGTTGATTTTCTTTGGTTTACATCATGTTAATGTCCTTTGAAAAGGCATATATTCTCCAGCTACAAGTTAAACAGAAGAGCAGACTGGGCACTAGCCTTGGTAAGGCGATCAGTGTAGGAGAAGGTCAACTCAATTCAAAACCAGCCTGACAGGTTTTGCTCTAGAAACACCTATTGCTGCTATAGCCACAGTACATGAGGTGTCTCTATGGCGGGTTACGAAACTCATAATCATGATAAACGGATTTGATACTTTATGTCAGATTTCACAATGAAATTCATATTAAATGATATTCATAAAATGTTCAGTATACATGATATGTATGTTGTAATTTATTACATTGTAAACATATAATGTCACCTTTGCCCAATCTTTCCACTGACCAGCCAATGATTACTCCACATTGTATTTTGATTCTTGATATTATCCATGTGCACTGAAAGCTGGGAAAGGGCCTGCTGCATGCTCACAAAATGAAAAACAATGCTGGGCAATAAACCCAGCCACCTCCTGAAAGAGGTACTGCGTGGGGGGAAGGTACCCTGAGGCTTGGGTTTAATATTTTTTAAACTTCCCTGGCATGTGCCAGGTAAGTATTCTCAAATTATATGTAGATGTTTTATTTAGGGCTTTGCCTGGGTGGATAGGTAGGTGACACTTTGGACAGCTATGTCGATGTCATAGATCAGCTCTTTCTCCTACCAACTCCTCACTCATCTACACATTCCAGTGTGTGGCTGGCAATATGAACAAGTGGCATCAGAACCACACGACAGACAAATCTGTTTCCCGTCAAGGGCAAACCAGAACTACCTCTTAGATCCAAAACATGACTATTGATATAGACTAGCACCTGGAAGTAATCAATATTGTGTGTGTGTGTGTGTGTGTGTGTGTGTGTAAAAATTCAGATATCTCTATATCTATAATTCTCAAAATGTGTGTGTGTATGTATGTATGTGTGGGTGTGTGTGATCAGATGTTGTTTATGTGTTTCTACAGTTTTCATCCGATTTTGATGAAATTTTTTTTGTTTGACAAATAATTCTTCAGTGCCAATTTTGAGTTCAAATTGGCTGGAGAAAATTACGACCATGAAGGTGAAAAATTGAAAAAAAACTGATTTTTTACACTTTGCACAAAAATCAAAGACAAAATTTAATTTACTTTTTCACACATAACCTTCTAATCCTAGCTCATGCTGTGTGGGCGTGATTCACACCTCCACATGTTGCCTATCGGTTGCTGCTGACTTTTATAATTAGTGCGTACAGCAACACATGTACATGTGACCCAGCAACACACACTGATAATCCAGAATATATTTGAAGAATCTGCAATTGCAAATGCAAACAGGGATTAAGATGCAGAACATCGGCTAAAGATATGAAAGTAACTTAGCTACCATTGTTAAATAAACATCACAAAGAGAAATGTTTAAGTAATGAAGTAATTGAAAACTGATTTGTCAACAGAAAGTTTTACTGATGAATGGAGAGCTACATTGGATAGACTTGATGGCTCAGCTAGACTTTAGTCTTATAGAAAAAAAAACAAACATGACTTGTGAATTATTGAAATTTCTTGTACTTATCATCAATTTTAAAGGACCAATAATATTAGTGCCTACCATAATCATCCAAAACATTATTCCACCTCCTCAGTGTTATCGTCTAATTCATGCTGGTTGGCTATTTCTGTGAAGAGCTCAGCATCTAGCCCAGTCATCAGGTTCAACCAATGTAGCTCTACATTAATCAATTTTCATGTATTTCTTTGTCCAACTTACATTTGTCTTTATGATATTTATTTAAAGGTTGTAGTTTAGTTGCTTTCCTATCTTTTACCAATGTTCTTAATTTTCTGGATCTTATATTCTGTTTACATTTGCAACATCAGCTTCTTCAAATATTTTCTTGCTGGTTAATTCACTTTTCTAGCTTATTAACCTTTTAAGTTAATCTAAAATTCTTTTTGTGACACTATTAGTTTTTTTTTCTTGTTCATATCTTGCCAATATTTTCAATTTCTTTTCAGTTGTTCTATGATCCTTACCTAACTGTTCTGCAATTTCCATCAATGTATTCATGTCACAATAACAGTATCATTTGAGGTTTAATATTTCTTACAAATCACATAAATCTTTATATATCTAAAATTAGTAATAATAAAAATACAACTAAAAAAATGTGAAAATTATGAGAATTTAAAATATTTTTCAGGCCAAAGTGCTCAATAGATAATTAGAGCTATCTTCCTATGTTGCCATGTGTAATACATGCTTGGGCAATTGGGTTTCTTTTTAGTTCATGCAGATATTTGTTCAAATTTTAAGTGGATCAAGATGAAAACTTTTCAGTGTCCCCTTGTTTTATATATATATATATATATATATATATATATATATATATATATATAGTGCAACCCTTGCCCAAGTTTTCCACTCACCAGCCAACAATTACCCCATGTTGTATTCTGATTCCCAATCTGGTTGGTGGGCATTGAAAGCTGGGAAAGGGTCCACTGCACACTCACAAAGTAACAAAATGAAAATATATATATATATATATATATATACAAACTTTTGGCCTATATGGCTTGAGGATACCTGTTGGTTGCAACCATGATAGCATAATTGACTGATCTAATTTTTGAAATTTAAAAGCTCTGCATATTAAATTTTTATTTTCTTTATATGTATATTGATCATCTTTTAATACAACCATTTCCTGGTCTAATTTAACTCTGACCAATAACTGTTTTATAATTATTACACACACACACACATATATATATATATATATATATATATATATATATATATATATATATATACACCCTTGTGTAAATTAATTGAAGCAAAATGAATAATTCTGTTATTATTTACTTTTTATTCATATTTTTCCAATGAAACATGAACCAATGCACATGTTAATACTTCATATGTCCATTCCCCAAAGTCATTCCTTGTAGATTGACCACAGATTCTCGATTGGATTTAAATCAGGAGAGTTTCCAAGTCAGCCTAGTACTTTGATTTGCTCACAGGTAAGCCTTGCTAGTGTGTTTGTTCAGCGTTACAAATTTTTGTATGCTTCTTTGCAGTAACGTCCATTGCAGACAATGTCCATAGGACAACTAATGAACTGTAATACAATAGTGCCTAGGCATGATAAAAATCTGATGCAATCACAGATGATGCAATATTTTTCAAGACCAAACAAATTTCATCACATACCCTGAAAATAGATTCATATTATTGCACACCACTGCAAATGACGTAATCTGAGGAAAAAATAGAAACTGATTACACCGTCACTCCAGTGAATCTAAAACTGCTGTATGGTGAAAGAGAGGAAACTAAAGTAGTTGTTTCAGTTAATTTGAACAAGTGTGTGTGTATATATATATATATATATATATTCTTAGATAAGGAGGAAATTCCATCAAAAATTGTCCAACGTTCATTTCAGAAGAAATATGGTCCAAGCTTTCAATTTTCTTAAATCATCATCAGGATAAGTAGAGACAAATTGTAAGCTTCGTACAACTGGCGAATATAGTGATATGTGGGTGTGTGTTTAATTTTTTTTA